ATGGGATAAGATTTTAAAATGGGTTTATAGGTTTCTCCTACACAGCTCAATCCTGGTGGATTTTTTCCTGCCATGCATCTTAGCAGGATTTAACACAAAGTGTTGAATATGTTTCTTTATCTGAGAAAGAGCCCCATTAACACCTGTCCCTGCTCACAGGGGCCACTAAACCACTTGAAAGTCTCTACATGCTTGGATATGTGCAGCTTGTTTTGAACCTCCTGCCCCCAGTGACATGATGTCACCTCCATACATAATGAGCAAACTGGAAGGACCAGATCAGAGGAATAAAAATGTCATCAATAGCTGTTGGGGCTGATTGCACGGCTTCATCCTGCATGAATGTGATTGTGTAATTTTTTTTGTCCTCCATTTTCTTCCCTGGAGCCTAAAGCTCTGCAGGCCTTTACTGGCAGCAGTTCAAAGTGCAGCCAGGACCCTTCAGGGTTGATGGTTGCAGGGAATGGAAATGTGATTGTGGCAGACAGCTTCTCAGCCCTTGATTTAACGTTAGAAAAGAACTTTTGTTTAACTTTTACATAAACCGGTTTCTTTTACGTGTTTCAGTCACCACACCTTTCTTTACCATGATGATGACTCGACTTTTTCACTTAAATAATGCGTGGATGGTCTAGAATATGGAAGGGACACCAACAGTTATACTGTCTGTAGAAGCAGAGCCAGAATATTTTTATAAGGGTGGCCAGGCAATAACCAATGTACACTGAGGGGTGGCCGAATGCATATAGGCACCAGAACCTCAGGGTCAGGCCAAAGATACAACAAACTATACTTTCCTACAGATTTTACCAACAAATAGACACATATATTTAAACATCCGTGCTTTCTAGATAAATGATATAGTAGATAAAATTCTTTCAGGTTTGAGTTCTGCAGCGAACATCTTTTCCATTGTTATTACTGACCTTCTTGTATCAATAACCATTCTGCATAAAATTGATACTTGCAAGTACTAATATCTACATAAATTGATTATTTAATATGTTTTTATTAAAATAGTTATTTATCTATGATTTCACTCTCTTAGATGACTTGCAAAGACACATTATTTTCTCTTTAACCCATATAACAAAAAATCTAGTTCTGAAAACAGCATAAATTCTGTACTTATCATCTTTGATGTTGATGTGTATAATTAACCACAATGTTTTTGTTGTCAAGTAGTTATTAATATATGAAAAAAGTAAGCAATATATGAAAGATTAAAATGTTTTGAATATTACACTTGAGAGTATTACTGCTGAAGAAAAATGGTAGGGGTGGCCACAGGGGTGGCTAATGATTGGCTAAGGGTGGCCATGGTCACCCCTGGCCCCCCATCTAGCTCCGCCCCTGACTGTCTGCACAAGATGTCCCGTTTCCATGTTGATGACCCTTTTTTTTTAATCGGGCTTTTATTTAATCACTTTTAGCCTTTTCACATGTGGTGGTTTGGGAATCTGAACCTGAAAGAAAGGAATCCGACCATTAAATCACCTGGTTGTCTTATTTGGGCGGGTTTACAGTCACAGGTACAGCGACTATCCATCTGCATCTCTACCAGCGACTTCCACCACCCGGTCAATGAGTTCCTGCATCTTCCTGACGGAGATTCACTGTCCCGAGAGTTAGGATCGGGGGATGAGGTAGGCGGGGGGGAGATTTAGCAGTAGGCAATACTAGGCAGTTGCGTAGGGCCCCAAGTTCCTGGAGGCCCCATAAAACTCTGTTTACATGTATAGTTAATTCAGCTATTCCTTATTCGTGCACATTAATAATGTTTTTGATAAAAATCCTTTTAGTAAAAAGCCATCAGAATGCTGACAATATTAAGTGTGTCTCAGCCCCCCCCCTTCAGTGTCCACCATATTGGATCAGTCCATTTGCTGCACATGTTCATAAAGGTCCAAACAGACAGCAGCAAAACATTTGAAAACAAACGGTGCAAAAGCAGAGACTTTCTTTTTAGACCGCTCTAGTACTTTTATTTTAAAAAAGAACCTAGCGCCAAATCTAGCGACTTTTTTCTGCTAGTGGAGACTTTTGGCGACAACATCTTTCATTCCTTTTGAGACAGCATGAAAAGTCAGATGTCTTTTCTATTAAACTTTCTCTATCTGTATAATTGGTCTGTTTCATGTATTGTCTTCTCAGTTCAGAGGGCCCCCTGCCTGTTTATGCCTAGGGCCCCAAATTTCCTAAATCCACCCCTGGTTAGGAACACTATTTTTTAAAATAAATCTTAATGCACCTTTATTTTTTATCTACTATATGTATTTCTATCTTCTATGTGCCCTGTCCTAAGCTCTTGTCTCTTAGTATGCTTCCCCTGATGCTTTAAGGGCAGTGGCGGTCTAGTGGTTGGGGCATTATGCTTAGTCTCCTGAGGTTCTGGGTCCGAGCCCCACTCCCACAGACTGCCACTCTGGGTCCCTGAACAAGACCTTTAACCCCACACTGCTCCCCAGGCGCCCCACAATGGCAGCCCACTACTCCCCATGGGGATGGGTTAAAATGGAGGGAGTGAATTCCGTTGCTCTTTACTTGTGACAGTTTAATTCAATGAAAATAAAATGTAATTCTATTCTTCTATTCTATTGTGATAAACTTATACAGTCACTTTAGGATTAAAAAAATATTAAATAGGCCTTGTTTATGAATAGCTCATAGTTTTTATTCTTTTAAACCATGTCCAATAAGGCACTGGGAGTTCCTCTTAATGTCTGAGCTGGACTGAATTCATGTCTTCTGTGTTTTTAAACTTTATTCAATTTGTACATGCACCTTTCAAAGTTAGTTTGAACCTTGTGAGCATTTCAGGCTGGGGTTTGCCGCCATCTAGCGGACATTTAGAATACATTGTTTGCGTTTATTAACTATCAATCAAACTTTTCAGCCTTTATTCCCAAAAATAACCATGCAAAAGACTGACTACCACCATAAAGAACATAGAATTAGAACATAGTTTTATTAAAATGACTTTTAATCAATATAATCTATCTATCTATCTATCTATCTATCTATCTATCTATCTATCTATCTATCTATCTATCTATCTATCTATCTATCTATCTATCTATCATCTGCTCTTCAAAATATGAGCATGGAATATTTCTGTAGGATAAGGAAGATTTATAGAGCTTGCCAATTGTTCTGGGCTACATTGGAAAAATATTAAAACAATTGGGACAGAATTTGGGTGAGTCCTTTGTTAAAAATGCTTTTTGCATTTAGCCAATTTTTAATAAATAATCTAATAGTGTATGTTGGTGCAAAAGGTCGGTGTTAAAGTAAAGGTTAATTAATAAATGTCGTCCCATTTACAGTAAAATAAAAAAGGTAAAAATTTTGGATTACTAAAAGATGAACCTATTTCTTTTTTTTCAACTGCAGGCAGATTTTCATGCAATCTGTGCAAGTGTCCCCCCAATTAAAAGAAAAAAAATTAATTAATACAAAACTCAATCTACCTCAAATAAATGAGCTGCAATTTCTGAAAATAAAACAAACATCTACTTTCCAGCAGAAGTTTCTAACAGAGCACTTTGTTCTCAATCTGCAGGTTTACTAATGGTTCCTAGAATTTCTA